ATCTGCACTAAGGCAAAGCTTGCCTGAAGACAAAGGTCACTGTCTGCTTCTGCAATGAGAACAGATATGGGAGCAGCCTAGCTTCCCATGGGAGGGAGTTCCAAAGTCTGGAAGCAGTGATAGAGAAGGCTCTGTGTCCCCACCAAACACATCTGTAAAGGTGGCAGGATCGAGAGAATGTCATCCCCTGATGAACTTAACACCCAAGCAGGCCCCTAAAGGGAGACATCTATGGCTTTATAGCTTACAACCAGGATTTTGAAAGGATTAGGCACACTCTAGGATGGAGACTGAGCAAACCAATAGCTTTGGCCCTACAAAGGCCAACCAGTCATTTTGGACCACCCCTCCCTTCTGACAATCCATGTGACCATTCACAGCCATTTTGTTGGCAGGCCAGTCTTGCAGTATACGTGCCAGCATGACTTAGTGCCCTGTTCCATTACATTCCTCTCCATCCTCAACCAACTTCTTCAAGCAATCCAGAGCACCATCTGTCCTGCTTGTGCATCATGAGACCTTTGCTCCTGCAAACAGAGAAAGGCGGCAGCCATCAAGATTCCCTTTGGTCTCCATTACAAAGTCCAGATCCCATGGAGGATGGGAGTGCAAAGAAAATCCTATCTGCCATTGTCTTGTAACAAACACTGTGAAAGCCTTTACTGAACGCCAGCCAAGGCTGAGGAATCTCTGAAAAAGAAAGCCACATGTAATGAATTGCTTGATGCTCGCCTTGACAGCACACCTATGCCTTGGCTCAACGGATAGCAGAGTACCAAGACGCCTGCCTCAGCTCTATGTTTTTAACATCTTGGCAGGATGTGCAACTCTGGCCCTATAGACATTTTTGGTCTAAAATTTTCCTTCAACCTTCACCCTCACAGCTAACTGTGAGAAATTATGGGAGCTGCAGCACAAGAATATCTGGAGGGCTACAGCTGCTCAACCCTGATTTACAGTGTAATTATCACACCACTGTTTGTGCCCATCTCTAAGGAGCAAACAGGCCAACAATCTACTTGGAAGAAGTCTGATAAGTCTAGAGATCAGGGACCCAGGCCTCCTTGACAGGGGCCAGGCTCTATGACCCATAGGGTCCCTTGCAGCTCCGCAGTTCTAAGATCATCATCATCATCATCCTTGGCTAGGCCTGAAATCCCCAATCCATCTGTTTCTCCCTTCCCAGCCCAAGTAACCAACTGCAATGCAAACAAGGGTAAGGTCATCTCTCTGGCCAGACTCTCCTTTTTACTTTTCCCTCGTTTGCACTACGGCATCCTTGGGACCCTCGTGGTTAACACAGGGAACTCTTACCATGGATAAAAAGCCAGAGTAAGTATTAAGAGTTGTAATCCTGTTTCCCCCCCCCTCCATTATGCACGAATGGCAGAGAATTAAATCAGGGCTTACCCACGGAGAAAGGAGGCTGGTGCGTTGTGGGGGGTGGGGGTCCTCGACTCCCATCAGCTCTGGCCAAGACAAGCCATTGGAAGCTGCAGCCCAACCCCTTCTGGACGGCCACCCATTTCATTTCCCCTCCTTACCACCCCCAAGTTACCGATGCTGGGGCTTCCCTTGTGGTTTGCATGGAACACGGTTCGAGAGAAGTTCTGTACTTAGAAAGATAGGCCTGAGGCATATAAGAGACGGGTTAGCCCCCACAAGAGGTTTTCTGTTCAAAAAACTGAAATGAAATTCATGATAGCTCAGTGGTTTAGGTAAAGTCAGAAGTTGGGATTCTAATTGCCCACAATGCCTCCTTGACGGGGGGCCGGGCTCTATGACCCATAGGGTCCCTTCCAGCTCCGCAGTTCTATCATCATCATCATCATCATCATCATCATCATCATCATCATCATCATCATCATCATCATCATCATCATCATCGTCCTTGGCTAGGCCAGAGATCCCAGATCCATCTGTTTCTCCCTTCCCAGCCCAAGTAACCAGCTGCAATGCAAACAAGGGTAAGGTCATCTCTCTGGCCAGACTCTCAGGTTTTACTTTTCCCTCGTTGTGCTCCTTGCACTACAGCATCCTTGGGACCCTCGTGGTGGACACAGGGAACTCTTACCATGGATAAAAAGCCAGAGTAAGTATTAAGAGTTGTAATCCTGTTTCTCCCCCCCCTCCATTATGAACGAGTGGCAGAGAGTCAAATCAGGGCTTACCCACAGAGAAAGGAGGCTGGTGCGTTGGGGGCTGGGGGGTGGGAGAGGTGAAAGGCTGAAAAAGAGAGAGAGAGCAAAACCCCTGGCATGTGTGTTTTTTTTCCCTGCTCAGAAAATAGGAAAGGCACAAGAGGAGGATTTCCTGAAACATCCCCCCCCTCCATTATGAACGAGTGGCAGAGAGTCAAATCAGGGCTTACCCACAGAGAAAGGAGGCTGGTGCGTTGGGGGCTGGGGGGTGGGAGAGGTGAAAGGCTGAAAAAGAGAGAGAGAGCAAAACCCCTGGCATGTGTGTTTTTTTTCCCTGCTCAGAAAATAGGAAAGGCACAAGAGGAGGATTTCCTGAAACAGAACGCTCTGCGACACCGCTAATGTATTATTTGGGTTGGAAAGCAAAAGCCCACTTACTTGCCCAAAAGTGAAATATGACCTTAGCTAGCAAGAGAACAAGAAGCGGCCAGTTACCAGCACACACTTTGCAGAAACCACAGCTCTCCTGACAAGGCAATTTCCGGGCTGCGTTGCCGGAAAAAAAGAAAGAAAGAAAGGAGTCGAAGAGAAGAAAATAAATAAATAAATA